TTTTATTTATAAAGAAGTAGTAATACTACTTTTTTACTTCGTAAATAAATAGTTTATAAGAAGGTTATGTCACCTTGCTATGTAGAGATAGACCGGTGTAGAGATGAGATGGGCGGTGGAAAAAACCTGATGAGGAAAACCCATATTTTTTCGGGTTTTTTTATTAAGAATATATATATACGAGGGTGGATTGAAAAGTTCGCGGCCTCAGCAAGAAAGCAATATAAAATATAAGGAAAAGTAATTTTATTTTTCCACGTAATCTCCACTTAACTCTATGCACTTCTTCCATCTGGTTTCCACCACCTGTATGCCGGTCATAAAAAAAGTTTCTTCAAGGCCTTCAAAAAAGGTCAGTTACATTGAAATAGTTTAAGTATTTGTGTTAGGCCGCAAACTTTTCAATCCACCCTCGTATATCCGCAGTTTTACGAGGGTCAAACTGAAAGTTCTTAGAAAATCAAAAATTGATTACATTAGCCAGTTATTAGTTTTATTATATCTTTTCAAAATATTGTCCATTCACGTCAATACACCGCTGCATGCGATGGAACCACTGGGAAAAGCACTTTGCCCACTCGTCCTTAGGGGTCTCTTCAATGGCATCGCGATACGCAGCCACCGCTTCTTCAGCATTCATAAACCGCTTTCCTTTAAGTTTTTCTTTAATTTTTGGAAATAAATAAAAATCACAAGGCGCGAGGTCGGGGCTATACGGCGGGTGACCCAGTAATTCAACGTTTGATGTCGCCAAATAGTCGATCGTTCGCTTGGCGGTGTGCGACGAGGCGTTGTCGTGGTGAAGGAGGATCCTACTGCGAGGTCGTTTCTCTCGAACTTTTTCCAAGACAAGTGGCAAACAATTGGTAGTGTACCATTCTGCAGAAACTGTTTTTTGATCCTCTAACACAATTGTTGCAAAATGACCTATCCTTCCAAAGAACGAGGCCACCATTTTTTTTCCCGCACTTCGATCTCTCTTCACTTTAGTTGGCAACTCCTCGAAAGGAAACACCCACTGAGCAGATTGTCTTTTGGTTTTAGGATCATAACAGTAAATCCAGCTTTCGTCACCTGTTAGTATGTCGAACACAGCATTTGAGTCACCTCCGTTAAATCTTTCAATCATTTTACGACACCAATCCACACGATGGAGTTTTTGAGCCTCAGTCAAATTATGAGGTATCCACCGGGCGCAAAGCTTCCTGACCGCTAAATGTTCGTGGAGGATTTTGTGCACTTGACTCATACCGATGCCTAAGCTTGTCCGAATCTGTTGATAGGTCACTCTTTTGTCAGTCTCTATCATACGCCGCACAACACAGATGTTATCTTCAGTCGTCGCCGTAGAAGGCCGTCCCTCACGTAAATCATCAGTGAGATTAGTGCGACCACGTTTAAACTCATTAAACCAGTTGTAAACAGTCGCACGAGATGGGGCTTCATCGTGAAAGGCCAATCGTAGTCTATCATAACTTTCTTGTTGACTTAAATGACATCGAAAGTCATAAAAAATCATTGCACGAAAATTTTCTCGTGTTAAATTCATGATGACGTGACACAGACAATTTTCAATTTGCCGCCAAATCGTAAAACAAATGACAAATGAATGAAATATATACTCAGTAATATTGGTAAAGAGTTATATTTTCAAATTTTAGAATTATTTTTTTATTATATTGTTTATAAGTGGCCAGTTCTAAGAACTTTCAGTTTGACCCTCGTATTTGATAAATAAACTGACTTAATATATTCTATTCGATTCAAAATATTACATTATCTGCTCTATGGGTGTATTCCTTATTTGTCATGTTACAGTCACGGACCTTCGACTTTTTTTAACCGTGGCAGAAACCTGAGCTAACCGCGTGATCTTTTTCTTGTATTTCATATAGCGACTTTGATTGAAAACATGTCTATTCTATTGTGGCCTAAAGTGTATGAATATTGAAGAATTTTTGGTGAAGCTCGTTGTATTTTAACCATATTATATTTTAATTATTTTGGCGTCCCCTTGACACTGGCGTCCGGGGCCAATGCTCCCACTTGCTAGTCTTAGATTCGACCTTGATGTTACGTAATGGATGGACATGACAATGGTTTGGTCACCATAATTTAATACACCAATTGCTCGAAAGAAGAGAGGTATAGTTTGTTGGTTATTTATTAAATAAAATATACTGTACTTTTTCTCAACGTTTCAGTTAATGATAACATTTATTTATTTACAAGAAATTTATTTATTGACCCCACATAATAGTAAACGAGAATACAATAAAAAAAGAAAAAAATGCGAGGTCAAGATGTACCCCTATCTCTTGATTCTCTAAGTAGAGGGGCATGACGTCAGGCGCCGTTAGCCTTCATGTGTCAACGATTATAAAATATTTTAATTTTCATAATTAATTCAAGCAATATTATAAATTTGAAAAGTATAAAAATACTGTCTACACCCGTATTTCAATTTACAAGAGCAACCCTAGCAATTAACATTCCAGACTTCAATGCGTTACGTTAAGGTTCTACTCATAAGATATAATCAATATATAATCTTTGGTTGAGAACACAGAACACGGAAAAGAGTTCTTTCTGTGTTCTGTGGTTGAGACCACAGGTAGAGGCATATCCGTGAACGCAAGAATGTCACGCAAGAAGTTTAGATATATCTCTTTATTTTAGTGTCACGCCACGGGCAATATGGCATACACATTAACACGGCTCACACAGGCCGTTACGAATACGACAGGCTTTTCTTTAGCACCTTTAAAAAATGGAATCAAATACATGGGCATGACGTAACTTATAAACATTGTTCTATAATTGAGTTCAAGTAAACTTTACCTGTCTTATTTTGGTCTTATTATAAAACGGGGCTGATGAATCGAAACAGCTATAGAATTAGTATATGAATACTAAACTTAAGGTACCCTTAAGCAAATTGACTAATGCGTAATGACAGAAAAGAAAACCTCAAGTTGAGACTAGGGAGTACTATCTTGTGGGGATGGAACCGGCGGGCTCCTTGCCGGATCACGTGTCCTTCCCAACCGGACGGACGTATCGTTTTTGCTTCAATTTAACAAGAAACTGCTTCTATCAATTTAATTCAATTTAACAAGAAACTGCTGCTATCGTTTTTGCTTCAATTTAACAAGAAACTGCTTAGATAGTAGGCATTAAAGTTGAGAAGTGGACGCTCGCTACGTCACAACTGTGTAGAAAATGACGTCATGCAACATTTCCAACTCAATGTATCGCTGTAATTTATTGATTATGCAAAAAATGAAAAAAACACTCGTGTTTAATATTAATCTAGCCAAGAGTAAATTTCAAAATCCAAGAGGGTGGCACTGCCATTCTAACGGATATGTATAGTCGTCAAGTTCCTCTTAATTAACCTCAAAAAAATAAAAGTGTTTGTTTATGAACCATTATTTATTAAAACAAGAAATATATTATTTGCATCTTCATTAATTTAACATTTGATTCTATGTTTGCTCACATATTTTTAAGCATGAATCTGATAAAGAATTATTGAAGTCGTCCGGGTTGATAATCTGTAAGAGATAATTTTAAAGTTAGATAACACATAATATGAATTAATGTATTGTTACTTTCGGTGGCGTAGTGGATAAACGCTGAGGCATGTGATCGTTGTTGTTAAGCAACTTGCGCAAGGGTCGAACACGGGATGGGTGACCAAAAAATTATTATCTCAACCCACTCCGTGCTTCGGAAGGCACGTTAAGCCGTAGATCCCGGCTGCATTTGCAGTCGTTAATACCCTCCAATCCGCATTGGGCCAGCGTGGTCCGTCCTCTTTAACGATCCATAAGGAAGGCCTGAGTCCCCTGCAGTGGGGACGAAGTTAAGGGCTGATGGTGATTGTTTATGGGGTATAAATAAGCATGTTAAGGTAGTCAAAAGACAAAATTTCGCATTCAATTTTAAACCTTATATAAATTGAAATAACGATTAATCATTTTAATAGGACATTGTGGCAGTGAAAAATGTGAAAACCCCAATATATATATATAAAAAAAATTGAAATATATTATAGAGTAGGAACGGTGAACCCGTCTGATAAGGAATGAAAGGAAGTGCAAAAGAAAGATCAAGTATACGGAATGGAAGAATGTAATAAATGATAGAACTGGAATGGAGGAGAACAACAGAATAAAAATGTCCTGCCGGGTATTAAAAAAAAGGTACTTACGCCAACGGGAAGTGGAAGGATGTTATCGACAGATGAGAAAAGATTTCCTTAACTTTATCAGATATCTGTAAATTGGCTTTCGAGCCAATCTAGTGGATAGTCATACGATCTTAGTAATGGATACTTATCTTTCTACTATTATACTATGCTTTCCAATACGTTGTTCATTAAAAAATAAGAAACGTGTGGAAGCTCTGGGATCTTATTCTAATATACACATATACTATTTAAATTATGCGCCTCGGTATATTTCGTGTTTACGAATTTAACCGATCAAGAAACCAATGTGTGATCGTCGTTTTAGGCGCCAAAACTCTTCTTCTTTTATTAATGGCTTATCTGCGCATTTCACAGAATTTTGCCAATGTCTAGTTAATAAATTAATTCCTACATGTAAAATGAAAATTAAATGAATAAAAGATTAATTAAACCATTAGTATCTTTATTCTTTGTGTCAGTATCTCGACTGTGATGGAAGTGACAACACCCAATATTTCAGTATTAAGAATTGTATAGAGCTGTAATACGCCAAATTAACTTTTTTTAATATAGGTACTGTGGCAACTTATAGCAACTTAGTCTAATGGTGGAGGTGGGTGGCGCAATGAAAAAACTGGTAGAACTTCTCAGTCTTGATTTATTTTCAGTTAGAATTACATTAAATCACTTACAACCAAATACTATGATGCTCACTCTAAGCTGGCCTCGATCAGAAAGGGAGACTATATCCCCAGCAAAACACGAACACGCGAATTCTAATATGAAAAAGTAATAATTTAAAATATTAACGGCCAGCACTTGACCATAAACCGTCCGAAGAGTAAACCCTACCTATAGTAATGTGCTTGGACGTTACAGTACTAAAACATTGGTTCCAGCAGCGACAGTAATGATTCTGAGTCTGAAATATCGGGTATAGAAGTCATATGAAATTGTGATTAATTAATGAATTTATATGAATTGATGATTTTTGTTTTATGAAAAAAACTGGTCTACTTACTGGTGTCAGAAACTTATTTAGTTAGTACAACCGATTTATCTTAATTCGATTTTCTTTAATCTGGGGTTTTCATTTTGGTATCAGCTGGTGGCAAGAAACACAATATACTTTTATTTTTAAATTGGCTGACCTAATCTAAATTTAAGCGAAATGATTAATTATATAATAACAACTCTATATATATATCTTTAAAATACATTAGGATTACCGAAGCTTGACGAATAAAGCCGAAGCGCATAATTTAAATACGACGACAACAATAAAACCTTTTTATAGTTTTTATATTTTGTTTCATTATGTCATTCATTATATAGAAAAAATAACCAAATATAGAAAAAATAAAAAATAATATAGAAAACCACGGATTTTTATATTGGAATTATTATCAATCATACTCACCTTTAAAGTATTGAATTTATGCGTGTCACAACGTAACGTTATTATGTTCCCAATGGCATTCTTTGCCACCAATTTATCGTTGATAAGCTTCCAAATGTTACTGGCAGATTTCAGGACGTTCATGTTGCCGAATATATAAAAACCTGTTTAATAAATAAATATATAAACTAACCTCTGTTTTCGTTAACCTAGAACAAGCTTAACAAGGAAACGCCTAATCTTACGAATCGCCTAAGCAGATTAGTTTAATTCCAAATAAATATTTTTTCTTTTATCCCTTGACGTATTTATGACCTGTCTTTACGCAAATGCGTAGCGCAAGGCGTCGCATAACGAATATCATAACTTTAGGCATTGCTTAATTTCGTTAGGTGGTTCCTAGTCAATGGTGAAATGCATTTTTACCTTAGGCGCTTTCTAAATATTTAGGCGACAGTTTTGGGTCGACACCTAAGTTTAGTGAAAACGGGCATAACTTTATTTAATAATAAAAATTACCCTACTTCGTCTTTACTTAACGTGACTTATCCACTTCAGTTGAGTATATTATCGTAAGTCTATACTAATATTATAAATAGAAATTTGATCGTTTGCATCGAATAGGCTCCGAAATACTGGAAATTGGTATTGGCTTGGTCTGTGATACAGTTTTTAACCAACTTACACAAGGGCCGGTGACAGGATGGGTGACCAAAATTTATTATCTCGAGCTCCTCCGTGCTTCGGAAGGCACGTTAAGCCGTCCCGTGTGCATCTGCAGTTGCTAACACCCACCAATCGGCAAGGGGATATTCTCCTTATTCTATACGATTCGATTTCATCAATAGGCTGGTGATGATGACGTATAGTCGTAGTTTACTGATTACGCAAAAATATGCGTTTAATGTATTTCATTGATATACGTACTTGACAAAACAAGAAATTTATTTTATAGCGATATGGCTATATTATAATAAAATGACAGCGCAGTCGTATGCCACTGATCATAACAAAACAAACTGTTGTACCCTACACGGAATGACTGAATAATATATATTTCTTTAGTTTCTTACTTTATGCTGTCTAGAGGGCGCTGTTGCCAATTTAATGTAACGTCACATAGACTACAGCATGCGGACAACTAAGACGTTTCTAATGATACCTCATTTGTCCAGTTACAATGATTAGTTTCGAAGTTATTAGGGAAGAGATGAATATTTTTAAATACATACATACCGGCCAAAATCATAACCCTCCTGTTCGCTTCGCCGTAGTCCGGTAAAAAAATAAGTCACAATCTCTATTCTGAAATAATGTTACCTTCTTTCGCTCGAGATAGAGCCACGCAGATTCGATTGGCCGCTGATAAAAAGCCAATGCTGATATCTTTATTACTTCTCACAAGTGACAATATAATTATTCTATTCTCTTTTCCTTGGTAACTGTCGACGGCTGTCATTTTCACGTCTCGTAATTTAGGATACTTTTTGCTGAACTACGACAAATAAATACAATAAAAATACAGTTAGTTATAATTTCATCGATAACGAAATTTTCGGCGAAGAGCTATGTCGACCTTATATATTATTGTGGACATGCTTCAGGAGTTTTGAAATTAAGAACTTTAACAAACACAGACCGTGTCATAACAGGCGGTCCTATCGTCCCACGATATATCATTTAGATACAAGTTAATATTGTAAGTTGATACGATTTCTTTTTTGCTGTTTAGAAAAGTTAAAGAGAAGATAATCATTTACTCTGGGGGAACTAAAGTAATATATTTTTTTCTGCTGTTTGATACTTCTTCATATATATGAAGAAGTATAAGAGATAAAGCTCTTTAATGCATATGCATTAAAGAGCTTTATCTTATATAGGCACACGCATAACTCGCTGAATATTATTTTAAGGTCCAAAATAGCACTTGGTTCTTTACGGATATTAGGCATGTCCATACTAAGACAACATACACTCAGTAACCCTACTTTTTACGATACCTAGATTAAATATAACCCAACTTTATTAATGTTGTTGGCTAACTTTTGTTTTAAACTTTAGTCCTATTAGTAATGAGGATTAAGTTGATTTTAAATTAGGAACTTTGCCACTTGAAAGATGTTCACTAACTTTACGCTACAACTATTTAATATGTAATATCTTTGCGATAGAAACAAATATCTTGGAAAGCTAATGATAAATGTCAAACGAAATGCTATCTGCAATCTTTTAGGTTTCTTGATCATTTAAATCATTCGTTCCAAAAGCGGTTGCAACTTTAAGTTATATTATAGAATAGATAAAATGTCATCAAAATACCTATATCTTTGTTAGGGTCGGGATAGATTTTAAAGTTGAAAATAACTTACCTCTTTGATCAGTGCAACTTGACCCGTGTAAGTGGATAGTATGGTTATCTCGTCAGAATTATATTTCATTTGTCGTAAATAATCAGCTAGCGCAACACACCATTTTGCTTCCACACTGTTTTTGTGACTCCAACTATCTTCTAAACCCTGAAGATTATTACATCAAATTAAACAGTGAAAGTGCAAAATCCTTTATCTTTAAAAGTTTCTGTACAGGAGGGGAATGAAAGGGTTCGCCAAATTTCATACAGATTCCTTTGAAGTCTCGAGCACACTTAATATCTTATGAAAGTAAGACACAAAATATAATACTGTATAGAAAATTATGCTCAAACCGCTGATGATAAGGTTTATTTTTCTTTAAAATTTGGTAATTGTTTTTACGAATAAAACACGCCGTTTTGATAGAAACAGTATTGATTTGGGTTAACTATAAATGACAGATAAATAATTCTTTGTTTGAAGAAGCTGCTACAGAACTGTCATTACATCTGTTAGTATTGGCATAATGTTGAAATTAGCAGTATGGAGTAATTAAAAACAGACTCTTTTGGATCAAATTGGTACTGATTATTAAGCTGTTATAAGCAAAATTCTACTTTATAATAACAAACCTTATTTTTCTCCCACTGTACATAGAATTTAAGAGTACATCATATTTTTCACAAATTAGTTTTCTGAATAAGGTCTAAATTAAAAAGTATGTGACATACTTCTTAAATTTAGACGAAGGTATTCAAAAAATTAAAATAAAGATAAACATTGTCTTTATATTAATAGACAGATACCTTTGGTGACTGCACAATAATATAGTTTTGACGTTAATTAAACTAACCTCAGAGTCCTCGAACACATCATGCGTGTAAAAATACAAATTATCCTGCATCCCCCTGACATCAGGGTATTCGTACACGTTAGGGTGACAATCAAGCTTCTCATAAATTGTCGGAACAAGTAAATCTACGAAGTCCGGTCTCATTCTGCGTTGGGTGGTCAACGTTTTGGCGTGGACACCGTTACGTATCATCCTTTCGAATAGAGATATCTCTAGATTGTAGTGTTTTGCCAGTTTGTATTGGGCTGCATTCGGTTTGAGTTGCTTGTGATCACCTACGAGTAACATGATTGGTTAAATTTTATCTTCAGGTTATTAATAGATATAAGAATGTCCATCAGTAAGTACAGTGCCCGGCACGAAAGTACACCCCTGCGCATTATCCAAATTGCAAATGAATCCATTTCATTGATAAGTACACTCAAGAAACAAAGCGACTTATTTTTTGACAGTGGATTTTTAAATTACACTCGTGTAATGTTACATTAAATCATCATCAGCAATAATATACATACATAATACATTTGTTACTTATCTAGTATAACAAACTCTCCTGTAATTTTTTTCATTATATTAACATTGTAGTGAGTAGGAGGTAATTAAAGTGAATGTTATTCACTACACTCTACTTGTATTTGTTTCTTCGACATCATTGTAAGGTTCAATGGTAGACAATGCTTAAGTGATTAAGTCCGCCATTGTATTTTAAATGTGCATTAAGTATTAAATAAATTTTCCCAATGCTGCAGTTCAAGCCTTCTATGGATATAATCATATGGACAACAGGTTATGTGGGTTATATCTCGTTAGTTTAAAAGTATAGGTCATGGCCCGGGTCAATACGTTTTAGCGGATTTGAACGATTAAGATTCAGATGAGTTTCAGGCGAAACCAACGGAAACCTTTGGTCACCCATCTGATGGCCAACCTTTGTGAAATTTGCTTAAACACCTCAATATCATAGAACTAAAGCGCTCGCCACTGCGCAACAGTTCCTTAAAACATTAGTTATTCTCTAACAAAAGAAAGCTTATGTTTTTTTTTCATAATGTTAGCATTTTAGGTCGTGGTGGGAAGTCTGTATAATGAAAGTTGATAGCGGCTAAAAGCGACAAAATTTTAAAATATTAGCATGTTGGCTTTGAAATATTTATGTCCGTTTTAACTAAACTTAGGAGTCGTCCAAATCTGACATCTAAATATTTGGGCATTGTCTAAGGTGAAAATGTGTTTCACGAATGACAAGAATTCACTTAACGACCATAAGCAATTCTTTGCCTTAGGACACGCATTGTGCGGCGCATAGCGCTGGGCATTTGCGTAATGTGACAGATACATTTACTCTTTGGCCGTAACGTATGTGGCAAGGGATAAAATCAATTTCATAAGTTGGAATCAAGGAGTTTATATAGAATTAAGATATAAACAATGTTTTTTCTTAATTTTGATCTTATTAATATCCACCCTTTTAATCTATGAAAGATATAACAATATAGTGTAAACAGAGAATTTTGTTACATTCATCTATATATAAATAACTCAAAGGTGACTGACTGACATAGTGATCTATCAACGCACAGCCCCAACCACTGGACGGATCGGGCTGAAATTTGGCATGCAGGTAGATGTTATGACGTAAGTATCCGCTAAGAAAGGATTTTGATCAATGCTGCTCAAAGTAACTTTACCACGCGGACGAAGTCGCGGGCAAAAGCTAGTTATTCTTAATACAAAATGTTTAAAAAAATCCACTTGGTCCCTGGCACCCTGAGATGGGAATCGAACCCACGAGCTTTCGCAATCCGGGCGACTGTGAATGCAAAATTAATTAAAATATAAAAGCTAGTTATTTGAATAAGACCAATGGACAGCTATGCTTAAGTTTTTAAAGATATCAATATACCGCAATATTCTATAGAACTTAAGAGCAAATACAATATATGCATCGATATCTCACCAATTAATATTAAATGTTGACAATGACGCGTAAGAGACGCGACAATATGAGCTTCTAATACTTCTGCTGCTTCTTCGACTATCACTGAAAAAATGTGAGGGGCATAGTAAGTGTTGGCGTTGAATGAAAAATAAAAAAACCGATAAATTAGTGTACTACTTTGAAAACATGCTAAAACGTTTTTTTTAATGCTGAAATATATTATTCATATTTTATTATTGAATAAAGTTTCCAACAAATGAAATGCATAGTAGGTCCCCTTTAAATGTCACGACTCTTTTCACACAAACTCGTTTTAGCTTGTTTCGATAGTAAACACCTCCATTTTCATACATTTGAAAGTATATTTTTTGCCTTATAATATGAAAAAGAATCTCTTGTTTTGTCTCTTATATGTCAAATTTTGACAGAATGTAAACGTTAAACAGTAAGGTCATATGGAGTTTAAAAAAGGTTTGAGTTTTAATTTATTAGTGTACACACACGGACGCACGTGTGCGCGCACTCAGACATACACACATACACACAAAGAGAGAGAGAGAGAGAGAGGGATAGAGAGAGAGAGGGATAGAGAGGGGGGGGGGGGGGAATAGACACGTTGGCACGCACATACAAGTACAAATTTTGTTTAAAAGTCCTCATTAACTTAAATGGAAATGTTTAGATGATGAAATATATATTTTTTAATTCTTACCTATAGGGGAGAGCAGTTGCCGCATTAGGTCGTGCCGTCTCGCCGCCGTAGTGGTGGTGACGCCGACTACCCTCACGTTCCTCATGACGTCACAGTCTATTAATGTTGATATCTCATCCAACTCTTTATTACACACATTGTGTTGTTCCTGGTAATAATAAAAGGCAATTCGAATACTTTTTTAATTATATAAATAAATATTCCATTCATCATCATCAACCGAGAGACGCTCACTGCTGGGCATAGGCCTCCCCCAATGATCTCCAACGTGATCGGTCCTGCGCCCTCGCATCCAGCGGTTTCCCGCGACCTTCACGAGATTGTCGGTCCACCTTGTGGGGGGACCGAGATATTAATATTCCATTAATATCTGAGAAATAATGTAGAAGCAATAGCGTGTCTGCGATCAATAATTTCAGAGATATGGTGGTATGTTTTTAGAACTGTTGCTAGTAAGCCAAAAATGCTCCATAGAAATTCAAGGCACGAATTCAAGCCTTGGTACAAAACACGTCTGGGCGATCTTTGTAATATTTTTGTTATTTGTGAGTTTATGTTTATAGTTGTTAGGTTTTACGTAATTAATATCATGCCGTGTGTATTTTTCAACAAATTTTTGTAATTTCCTGCCTTCTTCAAATTTTCGAAACGTAATATTTTTCAAATTAGTTTTAAAAAAAATCATTTTGTTAAATATTGATGACTTGTAATGGTTCATATTCATCGAACATATAACAGAATACTACCTATCCTATTCTTTATTTGCTATAAATAGAATCATTCTGAGTGACTATACTATTATCAAAATTTAGTTCTACCTGTAAGTATTCTTAGTGTTACAATAAGTATAACGACTGGGTAAAAAAAAATCAATTCTATTTAGTCCGTCAGTCAGATAATAGAAAAATATTAGATACGTATTTTTATTTACTTCAATTTAACAAGAAATAGCTTAGATAACTGGCATTAAAGTTGAGGAGTGGGGGCTCGTTACGTCACAGTTTAGTAGATAACGTACCATAACGTGACGTCATGCGAAATTTTAACTTCATGTATCGCCGTAATTTTATTATTACGAAAAAAAAATACATGTTAAATTTTTTTTAACACTCTACCAGACGGACAAACAAACAAAAATTAGTCGTCATCCCTATTTTCTTTATCGTCTTACAGAGAAAATTTCGTACGTTGTTTCTACTGATAGACATCGTAAATAAGTTCACTTCAATATGACAAAATTGGTTAGATGCATCTGTGCGAGTGCAATAGCATAATATATGCGCACGAATGAGAGAGATATGCAATGTCGGGTTATTGTACGAAATTCATTCTGTTAGGCAAGCGTGCTACACTCAATTGTCACCATACCAATAGGTTGTTCATTTTTGTCATAAGTTCCTTCTTGATTGTTCCAACGCACTGATAATAAAGTGCCCATCTTTGTTCCAATGTTAGGCTGTACAAGTCAGCTGCTTCTCCTGGTATAATTACAGGTACTTCGTTTTGGCCCAAAGAAATGTATTTCTAAAAATTTTTTTAAATAGAAAATATAATTGTTAAACTAGTTTTGAAGTTTCAGTGTACAAAATGGCGGATTTCCGCAATTCATTTTAATCTTAACAATCAACATATTAAGGTTTAAAGTTGATTAGGGAAAGAGCTTCGAATATTTCGCACTTCTGCCAGTTTTTTTTTTACAAATAATCATATAATATAAAAAGAAAATATGAATAAACTCAGAAGTGTTCGCGATAAGTATCTTAGAAAAATGTATTTTAGATGGTATAATATAAATGATAGTAGAATTTTAGAAAATTATAATAAACTAGTTTTTTGCCAGGGGCTTTAGCCCATATCCTGTATTATACATATAAATATTGCGCTTAAATCACTCAGTATATAGTCAAAGACCGCGTTGTAATCTTGTGTAGTTTAAAGATCTCAGCATACAGACACTGTATGGCAATAAAATATATTCTATTCTAGTCTATAGATAACGTTAAGAGAATTTCCTTGATTGATTGATTGAGACAAAAAATAGCACAATATTTGCATTCTAATTTTTTTGTTTATCTGAAAGTATTTGATAACCTGAACGTTTCACACACAAACAACCTTTTAGATATTCAATTTTAATCTATACTAATATTATAAAACTGAAGAGTTTGTTTGTTTGAAGGCGCTTATCTCAGGAACTACTGGTTCGAATAGAAAAAATCTTTTTGTGTTGAATGGACTATTTATAGAGGAAGGCTTTAGGCTATATAACATCACGCTGCAACTATTAGGAGCGAAGAAATAATGGAAAACGCAGACGAAGTCGCTGGCGGCCACTAGAGTTCTATACTATACTTTAATGCCAGAACTCTTACATGATAGACAGTTACTAATATATATCAATTTAATTTACCTTAAAACAATTGATTCTTTTGCGAAATCCATTTATTTTCATTTCAAATTGATCAGTTATCTTTTGTGCTTCCGAGTGGTCATCAGTAATATCTTTCACATATTGAATACTATTCATCATTGAATCTATTTCTTTTAATGCCCATTCCTCAGAGAAACAAGTTTCAATTTTAATATCGTTCATACTTATATCATCAAATTGTTTATCCCAATCGTCTAAATTATCCACAGCAGCCTCTTTAGATTCCTTAACATCATTAAAAAGCCAACTCAATATAGGATCTTCATCATAATTCTTCAGTTCATATAATTTGTCATTAATTTTAAGATAAGGTTTGATTGTTTCATAGCATAAAATCTCTTTTTCACATTTTTCAATTTCAGTTTGTAAATCTGTCATTTCTTTATATATTTTCTCTAATTCAGATCTCTTCTTGGCATACAAATGTGAAAATTTAGATTTCACTTGATATCTTAGATTATTTAAAGTGTAGGACTCTAAAGTTTTGCTCTTACTTTGACTCCCTAAACGAACTATGTTCGTAGTTACATTAAGTATACCTTCCAAAAATTTATCAAGAGCATGGTTTGTGTAACAGATGATCAACATTGGAGTACCTTGTAATGACAGATTTCTTAGTAGAGTTGATGCGATTTTCACCCCTATAAAAGTTTTGCCTGTACCTGGAGGACCTTGTATCACAGCAAATTCTCTGGTGAGCGCTAATTTGTAAGCTTCCATTTGGGAATCATCCAGGCCGAAGGAGATACTTTGAGGCCAATTATCTGAACTGAGAACATCAAAAGACAGCTCTTTTAAAGTGTTATTTTCAATGATGCTATAAACAGTATCTTTCTGTAAGTATGATGGTGGTTGAGTTTCATTCTGTAAAAACAAATATTGTATTTGAAAAGATTATTTTTAACTTAATATTAATAATAAGATTGGAAATAAATAAGATAAACAGTAAATCTTACTTGAACATTAACAATGTATTTCTGCATCGGCATATCATTATCTTTAAAACTCTGCAGAACTCTTAATACCCTGTGATATGGCTCAAAAAACACTTCACTCTCCACCATAAGGTAAGGTTTAGAAAACACATTCTTAGAGACTGGGTTTTGAAACGAAACAACTATCTAAAATATGAAATTGGTAAAATAGAAAAGTTAAACAAAGAACTTAAATAATATTATTGTATTACTATGATAAAATAAACATTATCTGGTAATGGGTAAACACAAAAGCATTTATTTCTCAAAGAAATATAAGAACAAATGAACAACCAACAAGTTAATTGAATTTTTAAATTTACAATTACTACTAGCTAACCCGGCAAACATTGTTTTGCCATATAAATTATTTCTAAATAATTTCTAGACAAAAAATGTTAAGGGTGGACAACCTTTATCACTAAGGGGTATGAAAAATAAATGTTGACTAATTCTCAGACCTACTCAATATGCTCATAAAATTTAATGAGAAATGGTCAAGCTGTTTCAGAGGAGTACAGGATCGAAAATTGTGACATGAGAATTAATATATATATAGAGATAAAAAGACTTACATATCCATCTGAAAGTAAACTATAATTTGAATCCAATACTGTAGCACACAATATAGTCTCAAAATTATCATTAGTAAACAGTAGTAACGATCCAAACATCAGCTGTTTGCTGTTTGCAAACTTTTTGGTGTCAATTTGCGAATCATTGTTACGATTTTTCCATGCAATGTCTACCAAGTGACCAACTTTATTGTTGCTGACAAATGTACGAATTATGCGCACTTTTGGATGTATTCTGGAAAACATGTTGTTTAAGAATAACTATTTCTTATCAAGATAAAATACAGGTAACAAATAGATATTTCTGAATAGGAACTTTTTTGCCTTTATTGTATTAAAATTAATAATTTACCTTACATTTTCATGTCTTTTCTTTGATGGGTTTTTCATATAATTACCTGAAGATTTTAAAATGCTATTTTAAATAATTTTCATAGTAGAAATGACTTATATCATAATAGATTTTACCAACATATTCCATCACGTAGAGCTCCAAAACAATCTTCCCTCAATAACTTGAATTGCAAATCGAGGTAACATTCAGCACTAGTATAAGCACCATTTACAATGTTCGGTTGAATTAATAATTCAATATTTCCAAGTAAGTCATCTCTAGATGGATATATAGAAAGCTTTCTGAAACTTCTAGAATCTTCATTTAGGATATTGGATGACTGTGGGACGCTCTTCATATCATTCTGAAATCAAAAAACAAAAATTATTTGGTAGATTATAAAAAATGTTTGTTTAAAATATTGGTGTGGTTAAAGTCTGTTGAGAAAATAACAAATCAAGATCTTCAGTACAATTTTTTCTTAAAAGAGTGTGTCTATTCGGCAGATGTTTTTTTAACTACTTTGCGATCCCAATTTTTAGCTTCAGTACACAATAACAAACAATATCACATGTAATATCTAGATTAAATACTTACATTGCAAATAATATTGTTAATTTTATTATGCAGGTTGTGTATTCTTATAAACAACTTGTCATTGAAAGTCTCTGTATGCTCTTCTTTCACTCCAATAGCACTGGTCTCTGTTACATCTAACAATTCACAGATTTTAATTAAAAGTTCAATGTTATTTGTGTCATAATTAACTATACCTTCACATAGATACACCACATTAGAGAAAAATGCTTCTGCATCATCCCATAGCTTAGAATTCATTTTTTTTTCAACAACTCTCACACTAGGTAAGTTTATTAAAAACTCTTTCATGGTATTCAGGAAATTAGACCTTTCAAACTGTGTTTTCAAAAGATTTGTTATTCTAGATTTTTCACCAGGCTGTACAGAGTTATAGATATTGGCTAAAACTTTAACAATTATAACTATGAAGTCTCCTTTAAGCTGTGAATCTAAAAGCATCCAAAACCCAGGTCTATGAGAGACTTCTAAGATAAGTATGGGGCCTTCTAACGATGAGATATCAAGGAGTCGTTTAAAACCAATAGGTTTCCTCTCAACATAATTAGGTTTTCTTTCTGATTGCTGTCCATCCTCTTCTTCATTATCGAATTCTGAAATCGAAGCAATATTTGGATTGTTGTCTTCAATTAACGTTCCGTCAAACCAATCAATGCGTAACGATGGTTTGTTTCTATCAGTCATCATAAAAAAACATAAACAATAATTTCTTTCAAATAAAATTACAATACACAGCGCTCAGCTAACTCAATTCATTTTTTGACACTGACCATAGAATAATAGTACAACGACACTGACATTTGACTGACATACAGTAAATGTGTTCTGTGTTAGTAAATGTGTTCTGTGCTGACATAACATCACGTTGACAATACAATTTTGAATAGGGATGCAACGATAATGGTTAATCGATTAATATCAATAATCACCTTACAACCAATATGCAAAAAATATCGATTCCAAAATAGCATATTGAAACGTAATATCGAATGAATACAAAAAGTAAATATGCTTTTTTTTTTATAATCTTTACTCGTAATTTTTTGGCCATGTTTAAAAATATCACTGATTAAAATTTTCGACTAAAAATCCTATATAGAATAAAGAACGACTTAATCACATTCTTTTTACACTAAAAATGAATTTTCTTAATAATATAAACGTTCTAAATATGTTATATTCCCACAAATTACTAATGCGTTTGACGGCCATTTTGGTGATGTAATTGTGTGTTAAACAAACCGCTGCATGAATGCACGAGAAGAGCGAGAGTTCGGGAGGAGTGGCGTCGCATTGTGAAGCAGGCCACTAATGTAGACTTGACGACCACGACCACTCTGTCAAGAGTGTAGCGCCTAAGAAGAAGAAGAAGAATTGTGTTCAACAATCAGTACTCTAATGTTGGGAACAGCGGTATTTTTGGGTGGCGCAATGAAATACTGGTAGAACTCTTCAGTCATGATTTTATTTGCTATAACATTATTATCAAAACACGAACACACGAATTCAAATACGGAAAAGTAATCATTCAAAATATTAGCGGCCAGCATTAACCATAATAATAATAATACCGTTAATATCCTCCAATCCGCATTGGGTCAGCGAGAAGGGTCATGGCCCATCCTCCTTAACCATCCATAAGGAAGGCCTGAGCCCCTGCAGTGGGGACGTAAAAGGGCTGATAATGATGTTGATGATGATGATTAACCATAAATCTTCCAGAGAGTAAACCTTCCTATAGAAATGTGCACAGACGTTACAGTATCGTAAACAAATAAACACTTGTTGACACTTATTGATTCGGGTTGTGTTGAGATCACATACCATTTTTGTTCACCCAAGTGCATAATTATTCACCTAAGTTAAGATTTAAAAGTGAGATGAACTAATTGTAATATATATATTTTTTATAGCCTTTTATTCCAGAATTATAAATACTCAAATGAAAACTTTTAACTTTCTGTTTGCCATTTGGCAAAGCCATCCAGCCTCTTCCACTCATTTCTGTCTCTGGCTACTCTACTCCAGGTTACTTTAGCAATTGGTTTGAAATCGTCATTCCACCTCTTGTTCTGTCTACCTCTTCGTCTTTTTCTATTTCTTGGATACCATGCATTGACTCTTTTGCTCCATTTCCCTATTCCTCGTATCATGTGACCTGCCCATCTCCACTTTAACCGTTTGATATTCACAGTGACATCATGAACTTTAGTTCTTCTCATTATTATATCATTTCTGAGTCTATCAATTCTTTTTATTCCTAACATACTGCGCTCCATTGAGCGTTGGCAGGTTGTTAAAACGTTGATTTTTTTGTTAGTTACGGTCATATAAGTAATAAAATCCACTTGGTCCCTGGCACCCTGAGATGGGAATCGAACCCACGACATTTCGCAATCCGGGCGACTGTTCTAACCTCTGAGCTACCCATTGTGAATGCAAAATTAATCAAAAATATAATAATTAGAACAAAATTCTCATCTTTATCGAAAGTTTCAATATTTGTAATAATATACCTTTCGGTTGTATGGGTGGATGCCTGAACATTGATGAGAATGCGCTCTGTAGTAGCGTAAAGTAACAAGTGCTTGAGAGATTCGTCAGTCCTGTTAGGTCCTGGGTAGCTCGGCGGTTGGAGCAGTCGCCCGGATTGCGAAAGGTTGTGGGTTCGATCCCCATCTCAGGGTGCCAGGGACCAAGTGGATTTTTTAAGCATTTTGTATTAAGAATATTTTCCAGTATGGCATTGTGAATGCAAAATTAGTCAAAAATATAATAATTATTTAATATTTCGTACGTGGAATCCACTGCTTATAATGTAATTTTTATCCAAAGTAGGTGATAAGATTAATTAACTTCAAAAAACTAAGCAGAAGGCAAAGAAACCTAGAGAATTTCTTCACAATGTAGAATCTAGGGATTTTATAATGATTAATTATATTTCGTCTATTTTGCATTAACATTCTCAAAGGAAAAAGCCTAAAAAATCATTAGTTACAGATGACCGAGATGGAATTATTGACCAAATATAATAAATAGAATATCCACATTTTCGTCTTCAAAGTTTAAAAATATTGTGGCTCACTAGTAACGAAAGTGACAAGTGCTTCAGGAATTCGTCATAATTGGTTGAAACAGGCGCCCTGATTGCGAAAGGTTATGGGTTCGATTACTACTCGGGCAACTGGGCCTTAATGTTACTACAAATATATCATACACATTAATTACTTGCCGCAAAGCATGAACTTGATGATGACAAAACATTTACATTTTAACGGTCTGTTGGCATAAATTGGTACAATACGGCAATTATCGTATAATAGGCTTAAATGTGTTATTCAATTACAATGTTTCTTTACCGTATTTAGTTGTATTCGGTTAAAGCTTTAGTTACAGCATTCATGTTTATAAATTGTTTATACGGTTGGGCGAAAAGTTGTCGATAGCGCAGTGGTTAGCGTGTACAGTCTGCGATACGGAAGTTATGCAATTTACATAAAGGTCGCTCATAGGATAGTTGACCAAAAATTTACTATCTTCTCCGACCTTCAGTTGAACTTAAATCACAAGTCTCAAATTGAAGGCTAATCACAAAATAACTAAAAGCGGAGCTTTTAAAGCTTAACTGGCAGAACTATATGTTTTTTCACGATCAGTCCACTGCGGGTCTTAGCCTTCCCAATCCAAACAAATCCCTCCATTTTGTATTTTTGGGTTAGTCTCATAAAACTTTTTGCCGAGGTGGAGATACCTCGATTTCGAGCATCTTTAAATACCCTAGTGATAGTTGGTTCGTCGACAAACATGGCTAGTCCACTGCCATTACTTGTGTGGTACTGAGTAGCGCATATAGTTTGTCATTGCCAACCTGTACCAAGATTAATCTACTATAGCGTGCTACCGCCCTTACATAAATATTATCTGTGCACATCCCTTAACTAACAGGTGTTAACCAGTATGATACCTACCACGAGCAGCCTGCGTAGCCGCCGGTCGTCCATGCGCCCGCCATTTTAGTTAGTGCAAGCCGGAGCGCATTCGAGTGAACGCGTATCGCTTTGCTATAAACTTGTGTACCGAAAATTGTGTAAATGGTATGTTTTACACTGAATAAAACTCTTGTGAATGTGTCTCGGTGTTTCAACAAAGTAGGGTAATATTGGGCATTCTGTCCCCCACTCATTCGTGTCGGCGTTTCGCCACCACTCACTCGTGGAATGACAGAATGCCCAATATTATAAATGGATTCACTATTAGAATTTATTAGAGAATTGATGCTATTCACGCTTTTTAATTCAAGTTTTATTGAATGGATAATCGACTAACCTGGTGACCATGGCAGCGAGATTGATCACATTTTTTCACTACACTGACTGAAACGTAAACATTCATTATATTCCTTTAATATGCCTAACGCAATGAACATACATATTAAATATTTAGCGATAGGACTACGGTATACTTTTATAACTTTATGGATGAGCAGCTTGCGTCAGTTAACACCCGGAAATTATGGTAGTAAAATTATATACTCTATCCAGTTTGGCTCGTGGTCTCCCTGAATAAAAATTCAGTGCCGATTGCCTCGGAGTTGCCACTAGAGTATCATAATTTTAGTAGTAAAATCAAAATCAGAAATTATATACTCCATCCAGTTTGGCTCGTGGTCTCCCTGAATAAAAATTCAGTGCCGATTGCCTCGGAGTTGCCACTGGAGTATCATATTTGTTTTAGTTCTATGAAGTCTCGACCCGATTGGCTCATGGTCTCCTTGAATAAAAATTCAGTGCAGTTTGCTTCGGAGTTACCATATTGACTTCTAGATTTTTTCTGTACCCGATTGGTTCGTGTCTCCTCACCCAATATAGTTAAAAAGTAATACCAATAACCCCTAACTAGCTAGGTAACATCTAAATGATAATTGGAATCTAATAAATTATTTTGTTTCTCACTGTTTAAATACACACACTTTACACGTTGCTTATCGGAACACTGACTGACTGAATGTACAAACGGTGTGACTATTCAAGTTATAAGCGGAAGCGTTTTAAGAATTGGTTTGAACTGATCGCTATTATATTGCGTTTTTGCCTTGAAATAAAACCAATGTATGAAATTTAAAATAATTAAGTCCTCATCACAAAAAAATATAGTTTAATGTTTAAATTAATAACCAACGTAATAATTTAAACTCACAAAAAGTTTTTAGGTACTAATAGAATAACTAAACATACATACTTGTGATATATGTATTTATAATCTATCATTAACTAACTTAATATTTTACACGTGAGTATACTTTCATTTAATAATAACACTATACATTCTATTTAGAAAGTCTATTGTTTGATCCTATTTATTTATGCGACAGTATTCAAGTTAGATAAATATCGCAGTATATGAATCAATGTGAACCATTATAATCTTATTTTCTTTGACTTGGACCACATTATATGCAACACTGAAGGTTATAGACTAGGAGTTAAATAAATAAAATCGATGACATGATGTAAAATAGATTTAAAACAGAAAATAATTCTTAACAATATTACTTATCGAGTTTTAGATTTTTCTAGTATCCTATCATAGTCCATAAAACAATTACAGTTATGCATCCGCGAGTAGTCTTATAAGCGAGTAACTAATGCTTTTGAAAATTTATTTTATAAAGACTATATGGTTTT